CACAACTACCTTCCAGTAGCTGGCATAACTAGTATGCTTTAACCCACTACGCCATCAGACCTTACAAAAGAAGTAGATAGTTCGAGATATATATATCTCAAACATCTCTACCTCCCGAAGGCACCAGATGAGTGAGGGGTCAGTCTGCAATTTTCGTCAAGCCACTGTCAATGTGAGAGAACTCGTGTCCAGCTTATAAGCCTATACTTGCATAAACCACAAGTGAAGATAAACAATCTTTGGACAACACCCACCAGTGGGACTCGAACCCAGAAAGCACAACTACCTTCCAGTAGCTGGCATAACTAGTATGCTTTAACCCACTACGCCATCAGACCTTACAAAAGAAGTAGATAGTTCGAGATATATATATCTCAAACATCTCTACCTCCCGAAGGCACCAGATGAGTGAGGGGTCAGTCTGCAATTTTCGTCAAGCCACTGTCAATGTGAGAGAACTCGTGTCCAGCTTATAAGCCTATACTTGCATAAACCACAAGTGAAGATAAACAATCTTTGGACAACACCCACCAGTGGGACTCGAACCCAGAAAGCACAACTACCTTCCAGTAGCTGGCATAACTAGTATGCTTTAACCCACTACGCCATCAGACCTTACAAAAGAAGTAGATAGTTCGAGATATATATATCTCAAACATCTCTACCTCCCGAAGGCACCAGATGAGTGAGGGGTCAGTCTGCAATTTTCGTCAAGCCACTGTCAATGTGAGAGAACTCGTGTCCAGCTTATAAGCCTATACTTGCATAAACCACAAGTGAAGATAAACAATCTTTGGACAACACCCACCAGTGGGACTCGAACCCAGAAAGCACAACTACCTTCCAGTAGCTGGCATAACTAGTATGCTTTAACCCACTACGCCATCAGACCTTACAAAAGAAGTAGATAGTTCGAGATATATATATCTCAAACATCTCTACCTCCCGAAGGCACCAGATGAGTGAGGGGTCAGTCTGCAATTTTCGTCAAGCCACTGTCAATGTGAGAGAACTCGTGTCCAGCTTATAAGCCTATACTTGCATAAACCACAAGTGAAGATAAACAATCTTTGGACAACACCCACCAGTGGGACTCGAACCCAGAAAGCACAACTACCTTCCAGTAGCTGGCATAACTAGTATGCTTTAACCCACTACGCCATCAGACCTTACAAAAGAAGTAGATAGTTCGAGATATATATATCTCAAACATCTCTACCTCCCGAAGGCACCAGATGAGTGAGGGGTCAGTCTGCAATTTTCGTCAAGCCACTGTCAATGTGAGAGAACTCGTGTCCAGCTTATAAGCCTATACTTGCATAAACCACAAGTGAAGATAAACAATCTTTGGACAACACCCACCAGTGGGACTCGAACCCAGAAAGCACAACTACCTTCCAGTAGCTGGCATAACTAGTATGCTTTAACCCACTACGCCATCAGACCTTACAAAAGAAGTAGATAGTTCGAGATATATATATCTCAAACATCTCTACCTCCCGAAGGCACCAGATGAGTGAGGGGTCAGTCTGCAATTTTCGTCAAGCCACTGTCAATGTGAGAGAACTCGTGTCCAGCTTATAAGCCTATACTTGCATAAACCACAAGTGAAGATAAACAATCTTTGGACAACACCCACCAGTGGGACTCGAACCCAGAAAGCACAACTACCTTCCAGTAGCTGGCATAACTAGTATGCTTTAACCCACTACGCCATCAGACCTTACAAAACCTTACAGACCTACGCCATCAGACCAGGTAGTTATGCCAGCTACTGGAAGGTAGTTGTGCTTTCTGGGTTCGAGTCCCACTGGTGGGTGTTGTCCAAAGATTGTTTATCTTCACTTGTGGTTTATGCAAGTATAGGCTTATAAGCTGGACACGAGTTCTCTCACATTGACAGTGGCTTGACGAAAATTGCAGACTGACCCCTCACTCATCTGGTGCCTTCGGGAGGTAGAGATGTTTGAGATATATATATCTCGAACTATCTACTTCTTTTGTAAGGTCTGATGGCGTAGTGGGTTAAAGCATACTAGTTATGCCAGCTACTGGAAGGTAGTTGTGCTTTCTGGGTTCGAGTCCCACTGGTGGGTGTTGTCCAAAGATTGTTTATCTTCACTTGTGGTTTATGCAAGTATAGGCTTATAAGCTGGACACGAGTTCTCTCACATTGACAGTGGCTTGACGAAAATTGCAGACTGACCCCTCACTCATCTGGTGCCTTCGGGAGGTAGAGATGTTTGAGATATATATATCTCGAACTATCTACTTCTTTTGTAAGGTCTGATGGCGTAGTGGGTTAAAGCATACTAGTTATGCCAGCTACTGGAAGGTAGTTGTGCTTTCTGGGTTCGAGTCCCACTGGTGGGTGTTGTCCAAAGATTGTTTATCTTCACTTGTGGTTTATGCAAGTATAGGCTTATAAGCTGGACACGAGTTCTCTCACATTGACAGTGGCTTGACGAAAATTGCAGACTGACCCCTCACTCATCTGGTGCCTTCGGGAGGTAGAGATGTTTGAGATATATATATCTCGAACTATCTACTTCTTTTGTAAGGTCTGATGGCGTAGTGGGTTAAAGCATACTAGTTATGCCAGCTACTGGAAGGTAGTTGTGCTTTCTGGGTTCGAGTCCCACTGGTGGGTGTTGTCCAAAGATTGTTTATCTTCACTTGTGGTTTATGCAAGTATAGGCTTATAAGCTGGACACGAGTTCTCTCACATTGACAGTGGCTTGACGAAAATTGCAGACTGACCCCTCACTCATCTGGTGCCTTCGGGAGGTAGAGATGTTTGAGATATATATATCTCGAACTATCTACTTCTTTTGTAAGGTCTGATGGCGTAGTGGGTTAAAGCATACTAGTTATGCCAGCTACTGGAAGGTAGTTGTGCTTTCTGGGTTCGAGTCCCACTGGTGGGTGTTGTCCAAAGATTGTTTATCTTCACTTGTGGTTTATGCAAGTATAGGCTTATAAGCTGGACACGAGTTCTCTCACATTGACAGTGGCTTGACGAAAATTGCAGACTGACCCCTCACTCATCTGGTGCCTTCGGGAGGTAGAGATGTTTGAGATATATATATCTCGAACTATCTACTTCTTTTGTAAGGTCTGATGGCGTAGTGGGTTAAAGCATACTAGTTATGCCAGCTACTGGAAGGTAGTTGTGCTTTCTGGGTTCGAGTCCCACTGGTGGGTGTTGTCCAAAGATTGTTTATCTTCACTTGTGGTTTATGCAAGTATAGGCTTATAAGCTGGACACGAGTTCTCTCACATTGACAGTGGCTTGACGAAAATTGCAGACTGACCCCTCACTCATCTGGTGCCTTCGGGAGGTAGAGATGTTTGAGATATATATATCTCGAACTATCTACTTCTTTTGTAAGGTCTGATGGCGTAGTGGGTTAAAGCATACTAGTTATGCCAGCTACTGGAAGGTAGTTGTGCTTTCTGGGTTCGAGTCCCACTGGTGGGTGTTGTCCAAAGATTGTTTATCTTCACTTGTGGTTTATGCAAGTATAGGCTTATAAGCTGGACACGAGTTCTCTCACATTGACAGTGGCTTGACGAAAATTGCAGACTGACCCCTCACTCATCTGGTGCCTTCGGGAGGTAGAGATGTTTGAGATATATATATCTCGAACTATCTACTTCTTTTGTAAGGTCTGATGGCGTAGTGGGTTAAAGCATACTAGTTATGCCAGCTACTGGAAGGTAGTTGTGCTTTCTGGGTTCGAGTCCCACTGGTGGGTGTTGTCCAAAGATTGTTTATCTTCACTTGTGGTTTATTATATATATATATATATATATATATATGTCGTATCTAGTAGCCAGAATGCACTTCTCAGCCTACTATGCAAGGCCCAATTTGCCTAATAAGCCAAGTTTTCCTGAATTAATATATGTTCTCTAATTTTTTTCTTATGAAATGATAAAGCTACCCATTTCATTATGAATGAGGTCAATTTTTTTTTTTGGAGTTAAAATTAACGTAGATATATGACCGAACCTAACCAACCCTACCTAACCTAACCTAATCTATCTTTATAGGTTAGGTTAGGTAGCCAAAAAAGTTAGGTTAGGTAAGTTAGGTAGCCGAAAAACAATTAATTCATGAAAACTTGGATTATTAGGCAAATCGGGCCTTGCATAGTAGTCAGAGAAGTGATTTCTTTCTACTAGGTACGACATATATATTATATATATATATATATATATATATATATATATATATATATATATATATATATATATATATATATATATATATATATATATATATATATATATATATATATATATATATATATATATATATATATATATATATGTCGTACCTAGTAGCCAGAACGCACTTCTCAGCCTACTATGCAAGGCCCAATTTGCCTAATAAGCCAAGTTTTCATGAATTAATGTTTTTTCGACAACCTAACCTACCTAACCTAACCTAACCTAACTTTTTCGGGTACCTAACCTAACCTAACCTTTAAAGATAGGTTAGGTTAGGTTAGGTAGGGTTGGTTAGGTTCGGTCATATATCTACGTTAATTTTAACTCCAATATAAAAAATTGACCTCATACATAATGAAATGGGTAGCTTTATCATTTCATAAGAAAAAAATTAGAGAAAATATATTAATTCATGAAAACTTGGCTTATTATGCAAATCGGGCCTTGCATAGTAGGCCAAAAAGTGCGTTCTGGCTACTAGGTACGACATATATATATATATATATATATATATATATATATATATATATATATATATATATATATATATATATATATATATATATATATATATATATAAAGACAAAATTCCTTTTAGAATACCAGAGCTTCAAATTAGATAATTATAGAATAAATATAAAATGTAAAATAAAAATACAATCTACTTTACGCAGTAGAGTTTACCATTGGCATTAATGTATCTGCCGAGAACACCGCACACATAAATCTTCAGCAACTTGGTTTTTTTACAGTACAGTACTTACTTCTCCAACGGGTTGTGGCAGGCTGCAGCCGAGCAATTACTTCTGTTAGCCTTCGTTCAAATGCTTTTAGATCTGAAAGATGCAAGTTTATTACATATTGTATCCAGCATTTTTTTATCTTTCAACTATAGTATTTAAGCTAACTTGTTAGTAAATTAACACTCGTTTTGACCATTCTGACTCGTTTAACTAAAGCCATGATTTTGTTTATCTAAAGAATCTAGTAACTGTACCTTCACATGCTGTTTGCTCGAGAGACATGTCTGCAAAAGTCCTTCCTGTAAAAGTAAAATTGGGAAATTACTGAAAGCTGGGAAATTAATAGATTAAATTCTACAAATCAAACTGGAAATTTGAATAAGGCTAAAATATAATAGAATGTAGTTTTAACTTTTTAAATCACTGTGCAAACTAATATACGTACTGTATATGAAAAAATCTTGAAGACGAAGGACAGCACAATTTAGTTGTTTTAGTGCATGTATGTTTCCCTAATAAAATAAAACAAATTTTTGTATTTAAATAACATAGATATTGATGAAAACCTTGGTTTAACGATTACTGCCTGGAAGGCAAACAATGTTGTTGTTATGGATGACAACAGGACAAAACCATATGCATTTTCAGACTAGGTCTCAGAATGGAAACCAATATAGGAGTCAATTTCCCCCCCAAGAAACAAAACCATTTGGCAAAACTAAATTACCTTTTTGTGGGGATACACCTGGTGACACCTAGCCACCATTGACAAGGCAGGTGCTGACTACTAACATCACACACAGCATAAGTCTACTCTGCAAGGTGAAGACATCCACCAACTATGGCAGCAGAGCAAGAGCCAGATGCCAGCCATATCCAGAGGGCACACCATGAATAGCCAGGACTCGTTAACTCCAGGAACTCTCAGCCAAGGTGGTGTCAATCAACCAACTCATTGCGCCAAGATCCAAAATGAAAATATCAAAGAATCTTAACTTCCCTGTGGCCCCAGGCGATGTATATGCCTGGAGTTGGATCAATCATGGCTATTAAATAAAGATATTTGGAATCAAAATTGTAATCCTAAAGGCAGGAATTGTAAAACATTTTTTTAGCAACTTCCAGGCGGATCATGAGCCAGGCAGAGTGGGGTCTAAGGCTTACCTTGAGGCTACCTTGAGGTGCTTCCGGGGCTTAGTGTCCCCGCGGCCCGGTCGTCGACCAGGCCTCCTGGTTGCTGGACTGATCAACCAGGCTGTTAGACGCGGCTGCGAGCAGCCGCGTCTAACAGCCTGAAAAATGTTTGAATTGGCTATATCATTGCTACTCTTTTAAACAAATAACCAACCAAAACCCAACCTATCATAACCAAAGAAAAATAAATAACATTGTTTTATATATAGTGTGCATAAGGTGTTTGGCATCACATCATAAGTTTTAATGTTAGCACAACTTTTGGCTGGGCATCCACTCAGTGCCAAGGTTCAACCAGGCAGCTAGCTAAATAATCAACCACTGTATTATACAAGACACATTTATCCACCCATGTAACTTGGCACACTTTCGTTTGGTAGTTTAATTTAAAACAACTACGAATATTTAGCAACTTCTCAAACATCTTAAACCTAGCTTTACAAAGCATTTTACCTTTCATAAACAGTCATGTCATCAAGGTGACCGTGTTTGATGCCCGATACAGGTCTACACCTCACTCATTCACCCTTAGGGTGCATCCCATCCCACTATCATCATCGCCCCTAAATCAACAACACTCACCAGCCCACACCTGCACACCACACTAACCCACACATGCACACCTCATTCACTAACCCACACGTGCACACCTCACTAACCCACACGTGCACACCTCACTAACCTACACCTGCACAACTCACTAACCTACACCTGCACATCTTACTAACCCACACCTGTACTCACAATACTTGGTGATAGAGTACGAGTCAACGCTCCCCGCCCGGTCAGGCCAGCTGGTCACACATAAACAAACATCCTGTAAGACCTCTCCTCATTGGTCAGCGCTCACACCTTCTCGACCAATGAGGTGTGAGGTTTAAACAAGTGCTAGGCGGCGGGGGGTTCAAGCCGCCATGGCGGACCCGCACAGCTGACCCGAGGCTCACACACACTCCACGGGGGACACGCACCACACGGCTTGGCAATTACGGTAAAGATATACGCTATACTTCCATTATCTCGTGGTGTTATCCCATGGCATTCAATTCCTCTCTGTTGGTTGCATTAAAGTGCTCTTTCACATAGAGAATTACCCCGCCTGCTCTTGTTCTGTCCTTTCTCAAAGGGTATTCTGGGAGATTTATTTACTGTACCGTATTTATATATATATATATATATATATATAGAAGGTATATTGGGTTTATGATGTTTTCACATTCTTGTAAATCTCGCTAACCTATTGTACCTTCTTGCAAATAAATTATTATTATTATTATTATTATTATTATTATTATTATTATTATTAATATTTTGGGAGTCTCAACCTCAATGTATGCACACAATGCCTTAAATTTATTTCCTAAGCTTATGGCATTTGTGTAGAAGCAATTTAAACTCGTGATGTTCCTGGGGACTGAGAGATTGGCCCTGCATTCTGCACATTACTATTCTGTACATTGTCTGTCTGGTTTTGAGTCTTTTGTTGTCAGAGATATATAGGGTTAGTTCTGCCTGGCTGGGTAAAGGACTACATCGTCTCCTTCATCTGTAATTACCTAAGTGTTATCATGATCACCTGCCCTCTCCTAATCTTTATCTTTGAATCTTTGTATTGGTCTGATTCTTAACTCCTTTAGTTTGCCTCTTAGTACCCCTGTCATTTTTTGTTGTTCTACTGTGCCATCTGGGGAGATATAAACTTGATTATAACCTTCAAGATCTTGAAGGTTATAACCAAGTAACCAGGTTACAGTTTGTGTGCACTGTTAAGTATCCTCCATCCGTGTTCAGAATCTCTCTCTTGTATCAGGAATGGTTGAGGGCTACTGGGCTAATAATACTGTTGACAAGGCATGACAGGGCAGATCTATTAGAAACCTTAAAAATACTAAACAATTTGGGTGATGTCGATACAGACACTTTCTTCAAAAGATCAGATGTAACACGAACGAGGAGCAACAGGTTCAAGCTCAACAAGCCATAATGTAGGACAGAAAACAGGAGATGCTCTTTCGCCTATAGGGTTGTAAACCCGTGGAACCGCCATCCCGCTGAAGCTGTAAACGCCAAAACTACTGGGTTTTAAAATACAGATAGAAAAGATCATCCGGGCAAATGAAGGAACCTTTGACAAGCCTCCAGCTTCCTGTCCTTGTTGAGGACACTTGTATTAGTGGCCCTCGGGTAAATTCAAGTAAAATTTGCAATGGTTATTCATACCAGATTTGTTTCAGACCTACCTAATCTCTCAACATTGGATACACTAAGATCCTTCTCCTTACCTGTCAGTTTCTCTGTTATTGCCTCAATAATTTCCCGATCTCTCTTGTCCTCTTCTTTTTCAAGGTTTCTTGTAATGTTTTTTTTTTTTTTAATCTTTTCATATCATGACCTAGTATTCACCTAGTTGTGTTCACCTAGTTGTGCTTGCGGGGGTTGAGCTCTGCTCTTTCGGCCTGCCTCTAAACTGTCAATCAACCAACTGTTACTAACTACTATTTTTTTTCCTACACACACCCCCAGGAAGCAGCCCGTAACAGTTGTCTAACTTCCAGGTACCTATTTACTGCTAGGTAACAGGGGCATCAGGGTGACATAAACTCTTGCCCATTGTTCCTCGCCAGCACCGGGAATCGATCCCGGCCCACAGGATTACGAGACCCGCACGCTGTCCACTTGGCTACCGGCACCCAGTGGCATGTGGTTTAAGGCATGTGCATGGGAGTACCCGGTGTGCAGGTTCGAATTGTGACTCCTACTGATTTTATCAATTACAATATTTTATTATTATTATGGCCACCAAAGATAGTGGCTATAAGTTGAATAAAATTCAGGTTTTTCCCCATTGAGCTGAACATGATGGTGAAGTACAATATATAAAGATGATATCAGCATAACATATGTTAGGGTAAATATGAAGACTGGTGATCCCAAAGCATTTATTCTCAAGCACAGCAGGAACAAGAAATGTGGCTCTGATGATATTCTTCATTACACAAGTCATAACAATAGTGACATTTATGTAACAATCTGAGTAACAAATAGGCTCCCTGCATTGTGAGCAACACCCTCATATGAGCAAGTCCACCAAGGAACTGCTTACTGTTTGGCTGTGAATAACTGGTTTTACAATACTTTAATACAAATATTATGATTTAGGTTTGACAGGTTGCATCATTTTTACGTTTTAAATATATATTTTAAACTCATGTTTATACTTTTATGTATATTTCTTGGCAAGTAGACACAACCTGCATTTGCTTATTATAGACAATATTATAAGATATATACTTTATACATGTAAGTACAGAAATAACATTGGACTGGATATACTGTATCAGTAATTCTTCACATTGGAAGTAGGAATGTAGTTATATAATACCATATATATAAGAAATGGTGTAATAAAGAATATTGTATTATTCAAGCATATACAGTACAATTATAATACAACATAACTAAATAAAGCTGTTTCGTAATGGTATATAAAAATAACTATCTAAAGGTCCCATCACCAATACTGTAGTCATATTACATATCCCTGTAACAAAATACTTATTGATTTAACAGTAAACCAAAACAGGTTAAGATGGTGACACATGAAGTAACCACCAAATATAAGACTGCTAGTCATGCACCATGGGTACTGTTGAATTAGTGTGGCTTGCTACTGAATATCTAAGGTGCTACTTGACCACATAGTACCAGTAACCAGAGAAGCAACTCTACAACCATTGACTTGGTACTAATGTTCAAAGGTGCTACTAGACAATTTTTAACATGTCATTTTATTGACTTTGTGTCTGTGATCAGAATTGTTACTGTACCTCCTTTGCCTTGGCAATAGTGACTGAGGTACTGCCAGTTCACTTTTGTTTTGGTACTTTGTGACCAGGCAACATGCCACTGGACCTCTGCTAACTTAATACTAGTGACCCAAGGCAATACTGCATTACTTTTAATTTGGTACAAGCAACCAGTGGTCAACTAAACTACTGTGAGCCTAGCTACTAGGGACCAGCCACAGTACTGTGAGCCTGGTATTAGCTACCAGAGACCAGTAGTTTCCTTCCATTACCATTATTAGTGCCCATGGTGTACCTTGAAACACATTTGTGGCAAGAAAATGGACAGTTTTAAATGACATAATTTATAACCATTGAACATATAATCATTATGCTAAAATATAAATTTAAGAAATTGTCATATGAATGCAGAATTCAGATTCCTCCACGAGACATGGGGTGATCTCTGTAACATTCAGGATAGTATAGTACTGTGCAACGTTACAAGTCGATCACAACTTTGATACATAGGCTCCGATCCAAGAACATTTTAATACTTCTTACTTCTAATCACAGTGTCATCAAGCTCACATTCAGGTACAACTTTGCTCAGTCTCAATTCTAATTCAGTGACTTATTTTCACATGAATTTATTTTAAAGAAATACACAATTTTATAAAATACTGTATACAGTATAGTAATTATGTATAATATACAATAATTGTGTATAATATGTAATTATATATAATATACAATAATTCTGAGTAATAAAATACTGTATTGTATTTAGTAAATAATTGTTTATTGGGTAGCATTTGAACTACTGTACTGCATAAGTTTATGATCAGCACAAAACTGTACTTAATGTAGGATAAATACACTGAATTCTGGGAAATAATAAAGTTATGCAATGTATAATTAGATGGTAAGGATGAATTTGATAGCATTTACAAGTTTCTTGCAAATATATGGTTGCATTTCATAGAATGCACTTGGTTAGAAGCAGGAGACTATCCACATTGATGTCTGAGAGAATCACATTATAAGCAGCTTACTGTAATAGCAGTTTCTCTCCAATGTGTTGCCTCACCATGTAAGGCACAGCTTATCTTGTTCTGTAGTGCGTAACAGTCAAAACATTATGAGCACATATTTTGGTAGATTTAACATTTGTATTTATAATTGATCAATATGTGAATATTAAAGCTACACTTTAAAACAATAATAAGTACAGTATGATCATTTTGAACACAGGGTAAACAATGATCATTTTGAACAAAGGGTAAACAATGATTTGTTGACTGAAATTAAGTACAATTTTATTTCATAATTGTATGTGAAGGATAAATATTTTTTACGTACAGTATCACAATAAAATGTAGTTAGCATAATTTACCTACAGTAACTTCATGGTATGAAGGAAAGCTGTCCAGCGAGAGTCTATGGAAACCGATAACAAATTATTACAAGTTTCTAGTAACCAGTTAAAGATTATGGATATGTTGAGCTGATAACTGGAGGCACTCAGAGTTATGAAATATTTTAATCCTTTTTGTTTGATACAGACCAGGAGTTAGTAGTGACTAGGACAGACATTGTATTAACACTTTGACTTCGTGATGACATTCTCGGAGTCATTACAACAATACATGTAGTGTGCGACATGATGTTAACACCGGCAACCATTAAAATAATTGTAAAAATTCCATTTGTTGTCCGATTATTATGGGACTTGTTTTAAAATGCACGTCAACGTCTTTCCATTCTCTGTATACCCTATGTGACATCATGACACCACCGTGTGGGTGGCCACCCACATGGGAGGCTCATTGTTTTCGTGACCATGCGCGTGGCTGCTGCGTCCTCCCCCTCAAGTCAAAACGTGTATCCGTTCCGGTTATTTTACCTCGAGTATTTTTTGTTACTGCCTTTATAAACACGCAGCAACACAAAAACGAATGATGTAACAAATAATGTCGGGAATGATAATGACTGTAAACAATGACGAAAAGCCAATTTTTTTACATGACGATGTACTGTACCGTAATTTATCATATGGTATTGGTAATGTTCTTCTATTTTACCTTGTATGCATATATCTCTTTAGAACATTCTATTGTCAACAATTTGATACCAAAATGAACATCTTTGCACAAAAATTGAGGTGAGAAAACTGTAAAGAGTATAAACATTGGAGTGTGGTTGTGAGCTCACGGGCAACACGCGACCTACCTTGTGGTGCGCTGCGGCTGGTATACTGGGCCTCACAAAGTGATTAGTCTAATCTTTGACATGATACAGTGAACATAAATGAACAACCTTTGCTTTACCATCAAGCTTGGTGTCTATTCACTTCCATATAGTTTTTCTCCCAAATGATTTTATTTGCAGAACATTAAAACAATGAAAGAGAAACCCTGCTTATATGTTGAGTATAACTATGATTTTTTCTCTTTAGTCCTTCATATACAGTACTGTACTGCAATATTTTGTGTTTTTATATAGATGTCAAATGTGTGACATGTGTGTTCCTACTAAACACTATAAATTGCTGGTACAGAGCCTATCACTAGAGTAATCTTTTTACATTCTATTGGAAAGGATCGTGACAGTCAAGGCACTTACAGATTATAAATAAAAAAAAATAATCTCGGATTCCATAGCTTTGATGGTAAGTACAATTTTGGTTTCAAATCTGGAGGATTGCTACACCAGTACATTTATAGTATTTAAGGCTAACAATAAGTTAGTTAATTTATTATGCACCCCATACCCATCCCATAGGTAGTGGAAAGTGTTACAGATGCTTATAATGGGCCCAGGGACTGAACCATAACATTTATTTAGCTGAGCATGTTACAGTTTTGATGAGCTAGTTACAAATTTTATATACAGTATATTGTTACATCAACAATGCGTTTGAAACTGACTGGAAGTACAGTCTCTAAATTAAGCAACTTGCAAATGTGGGGAGCCAGTGTCACACTTGGCTTGATTAGTATGAAGACTATGTGAGATGCTATTTGGTGTAGTAGATACATAAACAAATATATAATGTAAATTAGTTACATTTTTGTTTCTCTCTTAAATTAGTCAAATTTAAAAGAGTAACTAAGAAAACACACAATTAACATTACATAATAAACATCACTCACATTTCCACATTCTATATAAGTCAGTTTGGGCTAATATGTTGCAACATTAAAAACCTGTACTATATCAGCACTGTTGTTAAAGCTACAGATTCTATAATAATTTTGTCTATTCCTTTCATCATTAAGTTTCATTAAATTTTTATATTATAAAATTATAAGTTATTAAATTTCTTGAACAATTCATACATCAGTTTATTTTTCATTTAGTATCAAGTGCTTATCTCATTAACCTTAAAATTAATAAACTAAATTATTTAAGTTATACTCAAAATGCTTGGTGTATTAGTGGCATTTTTAATATACAATCCCTGTACCTACTATTTAACTACTGTATCATGTTCTTATGTATACTGTATTTTATAAATAAAATTATCATTATTTTTAAGTACAGCGTATAGCAATTTATTGTGAGGATTTTTCCTTCTAGGTGTGCTGGGAATTTATGTATTCAGCATATATGGGGCTTACCAATCCTCCCTTCTTCAGATTTGTAGAGAATGTCAGTCTACTTGGCCTTGGTTGTTTGCTTACCCTGGCTTTTCTTAAGGGTATGTAAGTCATTAGCTAGTAAGTTCTTAGGCCCACAACCTGCTGGATTTTTTTTTTGCCAGTTGCCTGGCATTCCTCAGCAATGTCTTTTCCTGACATCAGAGCTCAGGTGGTCCTACCAGATGGTTGTGGCCCAGTACCTCACATGGATTTCCCACATGGCCTGTTGTGTGTAATGTTGAATTGGTTCAACTTCCTATTATTCACATCTCCTGGTGATCACACCTCCGAGGGACAAGTGTGGGTGCCCCTCTCTACCTCCTGGTGTTCTCTTTAGGTACCACACTGCAGTACAGGGAAATTTTGTGTGTGTTATGCATGTCTTCATCTTGTGGCTTTTTGTCTTATGTGAACTTTCTTAATCATTGCAAGTAATTTTGTGTATCATGTTCAGTAGTTAAAGAACTTCTCTGTCTTGTATGAAACTAAGGAGAGAGTTCTGGGGCTAGAGATTTTGATTGTATATTCTGTTGGTCACTTTGAATTGAATTAAATGTTGTCCAGTGCCACCCTAGTGCCATCATGACCCTGTAGGGACATCTGAAAGGTTTCCTGTGGCACTAATGTAAAATGTAAACCTGCCCCCAGACTGTCACTGTCCTGTTCAATAGGAACTAGATGATGCTTATCTTGGAGAGCAACCAGGTGAGACCCTCAGAAAAGTGCTTTTCATATTCACTCAAATCCTTATTCAATTTTCTGCACATATACAAGATTTTAATTATAGGAACGATAAATACAGTTGTACATTTCACAACTGATACACTGGTTATGGACAACAATACATGTTGCTGAATTGAGCATTAATAAAATTAATATAATAACTAAATGTTCTGTTAAACAGTCGAATCTCAGCCAATAACACAACAGGTTAGATGTAACCATTTTCTTTGATTATCTTGATATTTCTTTGCAACCATGAATGGCACCTTGCTGTAACACTCATTACTATATTAACAATTATCACTTTATAGGTTATGTGGTGAATGGTGCACTTCATAAGCTGGTATTAGAGGTATCTGAGGCAAATAATGAAAGTATAAGTCCACTAGCTACATTCAACGACTTAAGAGGGCAAAGCTGGCAGTTGAATGATTTACTGATTACTAATTAATATGTTCAAGCACTTAAGTATAATAGTTGACTATACAGTACTGTAAATGTTGCACAGTACAAAACATATGTAGGCTAAATTATTTAGACATTAATCCTTAGAGTAGATGTTAATGTATTACAGTGCATGTATGAAATTGTTGTATACCAATATGCTGCTTATTAAAAGATCCTGCAACCCCTGTAAATTATATGATGGACCTAGTCTTGAATGGTATGCCAGTGAATAATGCAAGCTGCAATCCATGAATGATTTCTTAAAATTCCACCTTTTATTTGTGAGAATACCCTACATTTTCAGCATCTACTTTAGTCTTTAGCTTGTTTAATTTTATTTCCATGAACATAAGCTAACACAGCTTGTACCTGAGCCTTAGTTTGCTCCTTCATCATTATCACTCATGGGTAAGTGCTACCTTTAGCACTTACCCATGAGTGTTGCAGCAGCTCCCCATGGGTGTTACAACAGCATGAGTATTAACACACTCACATATTTGTAACTGCCTTATGCTAAAGTTTTATTCTGCCGTATGAATCTATATGAAATATAAATGAAGCATTTAATTCATACATGTGTGTATATAGGCTGTATGAAAGGAAGGAAGGAAGACAAGGATATAGAAGGTGAGTTGAAGGATGAGGAAACATGATAAGGAAAGAGAGAGCAATGTGCTACTCTGAAAAATTTAAATAATTCAGAGAAAAACAGTTTCTGCGACTGTGGTGGGTAGCAGACCATGTTGCAATGACCACTGATTAATAGATGTTGCCTTTGCAAAAAATGCAATTGAAATGCTGTAGTTCCTTGCTGGATTAGTCACTGTTTATAATGGTTTTCCATTATTGGAGAAAGGAATTTATGCAAAAAATGTGCAATGGGTTGTAACAGTTCATATATTAGTGATTAAGTGGTAGATTCTTGCAAAGCCAGTAACATGGCATTTTCCCCTAGCAAACAGCTCGTCATTTTCAAAGACGTGATCCACAACAGCCGAATAACTCCTGGGTACCTATTTACTGCTAGGTGAACAGAGGCATTGTGTGTAAGGAAGTGTGCCCAGCATCTTGACAGCATCTTGACCTGCCAAGAAGTTCATTTACAACAGTTCATCTACAAAGGATGGCAGTGAAGTTTGTTACACAACACAGTGATGTGTAGGAGGATGAAATTCTTAAATTATTAGCATTGATATCAATACAGTATACAGTAACACTTTTGGCTTTATTCAAGGCACAGTCACTAGAACTGGCAGCAGTCAGATAAATTAGTCATTTGTTCTCTTGCTCAAACCTTGATATTTGAGAAAACAACAAAAGTGTAATAACTCTCGAGCAAGATTTAATGTTGGTATTCATTCACTGAAATTAGTTAATAAAGTTTGACATTATATATTTACATGAAGGATAGAGGAAACTTTCTCCATTGTTTTATTATGGTCAATTTGTTTGTTGCTCTTAACTCCAGATGTAGTTTGAGTTTATTTGAAAAAATTTGCTATAATATTTGAATAGCAAGTTTAACATCTGCAGTAGATACAGATACAGAGGATAGATAGACGCAGCGAGATATATGATTAGATAAATATGCTTATATTACACCACAAATGCTCTACACTTAACATTAGCTAAGGAAAATGGCACCTGGTTAGGGTTGTACATATGTGAGGTTAGTGGATTCATAATAAATATTTTCTTTGCAGCTTGAGTTAGGAAATCTTTAATATTGAATTTTCTAAAGTTATAAAAACTGAATAACAGATTACACTTTAATATTAAATATAAATATATGTACTGTAATTATAGTATGTATGGGCTATGAAATACATATTCTTTTTATACTTTAGCAGTTTACATGCCTTATTGTACCATTAAGTATATAATTATACCACTGGGTTTACATGTCTTACTGTACCACCGAGTCTTGTCCAAAATAATTGGCTTTGGAAACTGTATCAGCACATCAGGTTATTTTTTAGCTGACATGGCTGCCTCATTATTAGCATATATATATTATTCACTTGACATGACTATCTTAATTTGTAAAGCTTCATCTACATTATTTGTTAAATTTAGTGCATATTCAGCTATCATCTGATCCTAAGATAACCCAACCTATATGAATACAGTATTTGCAAATAGTTTAGTAGCATGTTAATATCTTTGTCCACACGATACTGTAGTAGTATAATGTTTCAAGGGTGTCCTCAAGCGTGGTTGAATGTCATGACTTTCACCCGAGTTCAGTGTCTTCTCACTAGCTATACTGTATAAGAAATCCTACACATTCTGTATTCTGAGTAGGTACGTTTTTCTTTCTTTTTTTTTAGGCTGGGACATGATTACTTGTGGCCGGTGGCTGCAGGCAATGACTTTCACAACACTGTGGATTTCAATTGTAATCTCTGTGAACAAGAGCTAGGACACGCTCAACACTATACTGTATTAGTGAAGGCCTAATTAGCAATAACTTTAGACAAAATGGCACGAGATACCATACCTGGAGCTTTGTAACTTTTCTCTCACTTGCTCACGGATATTAGAAGTTATTCTCATACTGTACTCTACCCAAAGTTTGCTAGTGCAGGCTAGTATACTAGGCTCACATCCCACATATGACAAACCATCCTGTGAGATAGGGATATTAGGTAAACTTATAGATAGCTCTTGACCTATAATCTGTAATTCCTCATATAGAACAGGGTAGCATCACATTGCTGGGTACATACGCTAGTTAATAAAATAAAATAAACAATTTAACAATACAGTAATTGCAAGTTGTGGCAAGATATTTTATAAAAATAAGCAAGGTAAAAGTTGCAGTTGGCTAGACACTTTGCTTATGATGCATGGGATTTGCTTTATAATATGTTTAACCTAATTTACCCATTTGACATGGAGGTATAACAATTGCATTAAATTTAAAAGAAAAAATCATTTATCATTGAGTCATTACATTGTACATAGGCGTTTGTTATTCCTTCCACTTTGATACTACAGTTTGTTTACTTCCAGAAATATGAATCATTCTCGTCCCTCTGTATCTTCTTTGGATATTTCATATTTACCTTTTTAAGTCTCTTTCTCTAGGCTTTTCTGCAGCATATACTTTTTTTCCACTTGAAATTTATTTTTTTTTCATCTTCTTGGAGAGCTCAAGGGCTAGTCTATATGCCAGCACTGGAGGTCTGTCACGACCAGTGGCCAGACTCTTGACCTGCAGAGGTAAAATAGGGTGTTACACACCAATGAATCTAGTGCAATGAACATTGTGTGTGTGTAATTAAGCTATCTTTCCGTGTGTGTGCAATTAAGCTATCGTTACGTGTGTGTACAGGTAATTACCTGAGTGTAGTTACAGAATGAGAGCTACACTCCTGGTGTCCCCCCATATTTCCCTCAGACCGAATTACTGACCCTCCCCAGGATGCAACCCCACAACAAGCTGACTAATTTCTGGATATCTATTGACTGCTAGGTGAATAGGTACATTAGGTGATAAGAAACATGCCCAACTATTTCTGTCCCGCCCAGCATTCGAACTCTGAATTTCCAATTGTGAGTCAAAAACAAGCCCGAATGTACTACCAAGACCCTCAAAACCTTGAACTACTGATGGACACTGAAATACATATTAAAAACAATATATCATAAGAGGTTTAAATGAAAAATGCATTAAAGTGAATGAATGAATGCCTCCCACCTGTGTAGAGTGGACAATGAGGCCATTATTGGCTATAGTGTGATCTTTGGTAGCTTGGATATCCTTGTCACAAACCCCTCTGGCTGCGTCATCCACAAGCATAGTCCGGTAGCCCTCCTCAATGGCATGTCTAGTTGTCGCTGCTGTAACGATGAAGGACACAGAGTTACAGCTGGAGAACAGCTATGTCGCATCTCCAGAGATGTAACCCCCGAAAGACACATGAGGCTTCCCTTATTGTCTCATGTAGTATTAATTATAACAAACTCTTTATGGAAGTTTAAGTGTACAGTAAAGAGGTAAACAAAATTTGAGTGTATTGGGAACCAAAAGATTAATATCAACAATGAAGTAAAATGAAGAGAAAATGACACATAACAGTGTATAATATGGGTGTGTACGTGTAAGATGCTAAGATAAAAGAGGGGGGGGTTGAGGCGGGGAGTACTACTGATATAATTAGCTGTATCACTGTGTGTGTGTGTGTGTGTGTGTCAGTTGTGAGAAAAACATTTTGGCATTAGTAGCATGCATGGAGAGAGAAATACATACCAACACACACATCATAAGCAATACCACAGATAAATAAATCTGTGACATTCCTCTTTTGCAGTTCCTCATTTAAAGATGTGTGTGATTTTTTGTTGTTATCCCAGAAAGCACTGTAGGAATCTGTGTCTGGGTCTGTTCCCTTATACACTAACACAGCATCTTCTGCAATCTGCAATGGAAAATTAATAATAATTCAGAATGTTAAGCAGCACAGAAATTATTGGTCATTTATTTAAAGTGTAAAGTGGATATGAATGTTTTGTTAAATTTAATGAAGGGAAATCCTAGTATTTCTCTGAAAACTCGTGTAAATATTTTATTTATGCTTATAAATCTAAGGGTAATGGATAGGAATTACTGTACAGTATACTGACATGGTTGAATGCATCTATGTAATACAGTAAATACAAAAAGTGAGCGGGATAAGTAGACCAACTGAAGAGATCACAAAATTTGCTAGGAGCTACCTTCAAGTCCTCGTGGAGTTCGGCACCCCAGGTGTTCTGTACGCAGTGTCGTGGCCACAGCTTCTGTTCCATGGGTGTCCCATCTCTGTGCACGTCGAAGATGACCGTGTCGTACACCTCGGCATCATCACTCGTGATCTGCAGAACATCACACTGCATGGCAAGTCCCAAGCAACTATAATACCCAATTACCCCATGTTCATTTGTCCAAATTAGTCTAAAAAGGCATGTGTGCATCTAAATATTGTACTAATACTAATTCTCCAGGAGAGGAACTTTTTAATTTAGAAAAATGCAAGACATGCATATGGGCATAGCAACCCATATCACAACTACCAAATTAACACTGCCTTGCAGCAAATGGATGAAGACAAGGACCTTGAAGTCTCAGAATCTATTATTCACTAAAAGTTGCACAAGTAAAAGTTGGTAGTAAAAAAAAAAAAAGTGAATCAAGCCCCTTGGAATAATAAAACGTAGCTTTGACTTTAGGGAAAAGTAGATACAGTAGTTAACTGTATAAATCTTTAGTGCACCCCCACTTGGATTATTGTATCCAAGCATGGAGATCTTATCTTCGGAAAGACACTGGAGAAAGTTCAACACCAGGCAACAAAAATCATTCTAAAACCCTCATAACTCTCATAACAGGAATGTGTGAGGGCCACAGGGCTAAGAACACTAAACCAGGCATGACAGGGCTGATCTAATTGAAACTTTTTAAATTACTGAACATTTTGGAGAACGTTGATTCAGGCAACTTCGAAAGGTCAGATGTAACACTTAACAAGACAACGGTTTAAAGTTCATCAAGCCACAATGTAGGACAGAAAACAGGAGATGCTTTTTCACCCATAGGGTTATAAACCCGTTCTCGCACTTTTTTAGTCAATATTGACCTATTATAGGTATAGGTTAAGTAATAATTGTAATTACGAAGCAATAAGATGCTTATCTTAACATACTAAGAAGGTTAGGTAAGGTTGGTGTTTTCTATGAAGCTTTTCAAGGTAAGCTAGTATGTTTAGTATGTCACATATGCACGTATTTAATAAGTCAATATTGACTATACGAAAGTGCAAGAACGGGTTGGGTTATAAACCCATGGAACCGCCTACTGACAGAAGCCATAAATGCCGAAACTGTTGAATTTTAAAATCCAGCTGGAAAAGATCAGGACATGGGGAGACCTTTGACAAGCTGCTGGCTTCCTGTCCTTGTCGAGGTCACTAGTGTGTTCGTGGCCCTCGGGTAAAGTCAGTTAAATACATTCTCCAAATACATAAATAAATAAATATTCAGGTAAAAGTTCATACATACAAGATGAGTTACAAGCAGAATGTTGGATTTCTAGATAGTGCTAGTACAGTACATACTATGCCTAAAGCCACTAATACACACTGCGTTTCGGACATGTGGAAAAACAAACTAAAACTTAAAACAATTGAGATCAATTCAGATGTAGCACTTACAAATACTGTAAGTACTACATCTGAATAAAGATGCATAGAAAATAAATGAAGATACATTAGGAGTGGCAGAGGAGAGATAAAAGTAGAGAAGAGATGAGGCAGGATAATGAGATGCTGACCTTGCAGGACTCGTGTATGAGACGCTCGTGTACGTTGTCAATAAAGGAGACGTGGTTCGCTGGGTGCCAGTCTAGCGAGTATACAACCATATCGAACCGGTTTTCTTCCAACAGCCGATTGATGGGTGGGATTACCTGTGATACAAAAATTAATGTAGCTTGGGAGTGTGTGCGTGCGCGTGCGCACATGTATGAACTACACACAAATGAGATGTTTAATAACCAAGACATGTGTCAGAAGAATATAAAGTGAGCTTACCTCCTCGCCATGTTGGCCCGCAGGACAGCTGCTGATGGCAAGTGACCCGGATATGAAGTCATTCTGTACATCCACCACCACCAGAGCCGTCACAGGCCGCACAACCTGTAGCACACCAGTACTGTACCGTCACACTGCCACCATCGGCCATCAATACCATCACCACATTTCTACCCTCATGCCACCCCCTCCCCTTTGCGTGGGAAGTAATTATTACAATAACTTCTAAGAAAATATTAAATCTAAGAGATACTCTGTTCATAAGTGTGGAATAATGGAGCGATGCCTATACCCACAAACTAAATTTGTCTCATGTCACTTCTTACAAATGATACAACTAAAAGAAACTAATTACTGGGCAATTCTTAAAGATTTAATTGACTTAACACTGTTGAGTCAAATTAAAGGTTTAAGGCTATAAAGTTAGCCTTAAACTCTAAATGAGTAAATAATATGTATAAATAAACGAATTATTAATATACAAGAGCTCCCTAACTGTGAAGGAGGCAGGTTGTGGTCAGGTGCATGGCGACTTATCAACACGCTGTCATTACGCAGCCAGGGTCTTGCTGTTCTGTTGCCGTCCTGGACTTCATGACTGCTAAATCAGGTCGTGCTGCTTCACACCTCGGCTATAGATTAGTCATACCCCCATCCCAGTAACCTAGTACAGTATAGATGTGGTCATGTGTATGTGTGTATGGAAGGTAAATACTATGCTACGTATCCTCACAATCCCAATGTACCTTCTTGTATATATATATAAATAAAAATAAAATAAAAGATAGACACGGGGGGGGGTAGTTGAGAGCAGCTACAAGGCAAGATAACACCAATATCTCACATAAGATCCTGCAATTAATATTCTCATAAATATGTACGCGAGATAATTTGAATAAATAATATATAAATTTCGTCGTCCCTTCATTTTCTAGTGTGTGGATTGGTCAATATAAATTTAAATTCAATCTAATGGTGACTTTGTTGGCAGGAAGAGTTGACTATGAATTCACCTACCAGGCGGATAATGAGCAACCATACTGTCAATCATATGTGGAGGCCGGCCAACTCCATCTACAGTTAAGCACTCGAGTCATAAATTATTATGATTTGACTATTATTAACTACATCAAACCTGGCCCCAGGTCGGGCTTGGGGAGTAGAAGAACTCCCAGAACTCCATCCAAGTACAATCCAGGTATAATTAGGTAGTGCAGTGATTATTAATAAATTGAATAAGTTTGACCAGAGTAACGAACTTTAATATAAATCAAATCTAAGCCTAAGCTCGACAACAAGATGACAATCTAAATATCAAATAATTAATGAAATTAAACTAATCCGAGGTTTGTGTGCGATCTAAATCAAATTTTAATTCTTTTATGCAGTCCACACACTACAGAACACACTAAATTTTCTGACACCACTACCACCCTGGTACCGGGTTAATTACCTGGTACCTGTCACAGGTCATGGTCAATTACCTATTACCAATCACCAGCCATGGTCAATTACCCATTACCAGCCATGGTCAATTACCAGTCACCAGCCGTGGTCAATTACCCATTACCAATCACCAGCCGTGGTCAATTACCCATTACCAATCACCAGCCGTGGTCAATTACCCATTACCAATCACCAGCCATGGTCAATTACCCATTACCAATCACCAGCCATGGTCAATTATCCATTACCAATCACTAGCCGTGGTCAATTATCCATTACCAATCAGCCGTGGTCAATTACCCATTACCAATCACCAGCCGTGGTCAATTACCCATTACCAATCATTAGCCGTGGTCACTTACCCATTACCAATCACCAGCCATGGTCAATTACCCATTACCAATCACCAGCCATGGTCAATTACCCATTACCAATCACCAGCCATGGTCAATTATCCATTACCAATCACCAGCCGTGGTCAATTATCCATTACCAATCACCAGCCGTGGTCAATTACCCATTACCAATCACTAGCCGTGGTCAATTACCCATTACCAATCATTAGCCGTGGTCAATTACCCATTACCAATCACCAGCCATGGTCAATTACCCATTACCAGTCACCAGCCATGGTCAATTACCCATTACCAACCACCAGCCATGGTCAATTACCCATTACCAGTCACCAGCCATGGTCAATTACCCATTACCAACCACCAGCCATGGTCAATTACCCATTACTAATCACCAGCCATGGTCAATTACCCATTACTAATCACCAGCCATGGTCAATTACCCGGTACCCATCACTGGCCATGGTGGGGAAGGAGGGGGGGGGGCACAAGACAGGCACCCAGGGAATTAAAATATGGCCAACATTGTCAATAACTGCAAAAGGAAGCAAACAATAACTTGTGTTTGAGAATGACATTAAATATTATCACCACAGTTCTCTTGGAAGGTTGTAAGTAATAGCAGCTGTGGAAGGTTGTAAGTAATGAGAACTTGTTAGGTTATGTTGTAAATAATGACAGCTGTGTTAGGTTGTAAGTAATGACAACTTTGGAAGATATGTACTGTAATGGCATCTCTGGTATTACAATCACAAATTTGCAGGTGACACAGAATATGGTAAAGTAGGTAATGAAAATTATATTGAGGCCTTACAAAGAGATTTACATTACATGTAACTCCACAAATGATCAGAAGATAGGCAAATGCTTTTTACTATCGATAAATATGCCCCCACCTTGCATGTGGGAACATAACAGCTCACACCACAACTACCAAATCAACAACATTACTTTGTGTCAGATTGATGAAGAAAATGACCTAGGAGTCAGAATACACAAATCATTGAAAGTTGCAAAAGTGGAAGTTGCAGTAAAAGTCAGTCAACCAAATTCTAGGAATAGTCAGATGTAACTTTGATTTCAGGTAAAAAAAAAAAAATGTTCAAATGTCTAAATCTCAACTGTATAAAATGGTATTTTTGGTACTAAATGGTACTTTTTGTAACTGTGCATCATAGTACAAACATTGACATACTAAACAATTAGATACTGTAGTAGAATTTTGTACTATTCACTTTATAAGAGTCCTGAAAAAATTAAGCTAAAATACAAACTTAAATATTCCTAGGTCTAGTATAGCACACACACATGTACTATATTAGGCCCCGGCATGTATTAGGCTCAGGAAGGTTAGATTGTCTTTGCAACATAAATAGAACATCTTTCCTGGTCTATCCAAATTCATAATGTCAGATTTCTACTTTCTAACTGCGTTGAAAGTCGGTATATGTACAGTACAGTACTATGGTCCTCATGCCCACTATAAGTATTGTACTACCAAAACAGGAGGATGGGCTGAATAATGAATGACATATCTTTAAGAGATATTGTGTATAACCTGATGTAAGTGAAAGTCTAAAGACCTGGTGAATAATTAAGCCTTTCAATGTGGCATTCAGAACAGCATCAAAGAGGCATAAAGAAACATTACAGGTACACACATGGCCTTATATTCCATACTGTATGTTTCTTGGCTTATATCATTCTTGTGTTGCAAGTTTGTGTAGCACGATGGTCAACTCTGCCGCCTCAATACTGAATGAACCGGGGTTCAATCCATAAGGAATTTAGATATGTTTCCTTGCACCTTATAACTCTGTTCACTTTGCAGTAAGTAGGTACCCCTGTACTTGGGAGTTAGTCGGCTGTTGTGGGTTGCATCATGTGGATATTGACTTGTGCTAATACTGGCCCTTTACTGCAGTGGTTTATAAATAGAACAAACTTCATACATAATTGAAGGTAATCACAAGATATTATGTGAGTAGGAATGTAAATGTGCAATTACCTGCATGTTGCAGGAGTTATGCAACAGCAGTTACGACTATGTGTGCACAACTGCAGTCTCTTGACTCTTAGTCATCGAGACACTCACCAGGTTGGCCATTTAATCTAAGAGTTTTCTTAAGCAATATTATATGTACAGGTAGTACAAGTAAAGCTCGGGTATGGGAACAATAATAATTATAATGTTTTATACAAGTGTATAAACATGAACATGTTTATAAACATAAACATGTGATACATGAACAAAGAATGATACGTAGGTAAGAAAAGTACAATGCATAAAGCCACTTGTACGCAGTGCATTCTGGGCAAACTTAAGATGCACAGTACAAACACTAAATAGTAGAGCTCACAGGTAGAGTTTAAGTACAGGAACATAATAAGTAGAGGCACAAGCTAGAATAGTATAAGCACAGGTAGAAAAACAGTATATAAAAACACAGGTACAAAGACAAACACAGACATCACAGACAAAAACAGGTACAAAGACAAGAAAAGTATAAGGGCAGGTACAGAGCTGGACAGTACAGTACAAGGACATTTAAGAAAATATGAATGAAGACAGGTACACTGGCAAGAATATGAATAATGTACAAGAATAAGAATAATGACAGGGCAAAAATAGGTACAAGGGCAGTACAAATGATAAGTACAAGGATAAGTACAACAACAATAATGCAAAGGCAGTACCTAATGGTGTAGAAAATGGCTACTAAAGTTCAACTCAGGAAAGTGTAAAGTAATGAAATTAGGCGAAGGAAGCAGAAGGCTGAACACAAGGTACCGTACCATCTGGGAGGTGAAATTCTGCAAGAGTCAAATAGAGATAAAAGATCTGCGGGTTGATATCACACTGAACCTGTCCCCAGAGGCCCACATGAAAAGGATATCATCAACGGCATATGCTAGAGTGGCCAACATAAGAACTGCCTTTAAAAACTTGTGTAAGGAATCGTTCAGGACCTTGTATACCACCTATCAGACCAATCTTGGAATATGCAGCTCCAGCCTGGAGTCCATACCTAGCTAAACACAAGACAAATTTAAAGATTCAGAGGTATGCCACCAGACTAGTCCTAGAACTGAGAGGTATGATCTATGAGGAAAGGCTAAGGGAGGTGAACCTCACATCCCTGGAAAATAGAAGAGTATGGGGAGACATGATAACCACCTACAAAATTCTCAGGGGAATTGACAGGGTGGAGAAAAATAAATTCTTTATTTCAATTCCATTCCAATCCATACTATTGATTCCAGTCATTCCTATTGACTGGGAATCAATATAAGGGATTCCAATCATCCTATTGGTTGGTCTTCCTCCAAAATAATCTTTCCTGCCTCTACTCTACACAGACGCCGTCTTGTTGACTCGGCTCTAATACACAATGTACCCAACATGAACTTGAGTCCTGGCTTTGTTGCTGTGGACTCTTCCCTTTCACAGTATATACTCAAATGCTCTAATCTTTCTAACAAACGTGACCTAACATAAGCTTACCCTTCCATTTATCTTTATTTCTCTTTCCTTTTCTCTCTCCTCTTTTTTTTTGTTTATTGTTTTCTCTTACATTCCCTTACTATCCTCTTCTTATTCCTATTACTATCTCCTTCTCATTCGGTGGTTATAATAGGCCCTCTGCAGTTCTTATTCCTACTACTATCCCCTCTACTACACCTTACTTTGCTCCTCACCTCTCTCTCTTGCCTATTTATTGCCTGCATCTTCTTCCTCATCTACATGCCATACGACACCTACACGGTTCAAGACTTCCTCATGGAGACCACGTCACCAAACTCCAACGACAGCACTGCTCAGCCAAAGTCCCAGGGAAAGAAAAAACGGAAAACCTAGAGGTCCACACTAATCCCACCAGCTCCATAACTGGTATAGCCAGCCCCCCAGGCTGAAAACCATCATGAAGACCCCCATCCATCGCCAGATCTCTAGTATCAGCCACTGATACAGATAAAGGCTCCAAAGAGCCTCCACTTACGGGCTCACCATAGCCCGTGCTACTGGAACTTATTGTTCTGAGTAGAGAATCTTAAACAACTTAAACAACATTCCTCATCACCAAGGGAGACATCTCCCGTTACGCAGGGTGCAGTCGCACCTCCACAGATCTTCAGTATCATCTATTGATACTGGTAATCGCTCAAAAGGACCACCACTTACGGGCTATTCATGCTCGTGCCACCTTTTGGGTGGCTTAATCTTCATCAATCAAATTCCTCATCACAATCGACTTGAGAATGGTCCAGAACGGACCGAAACGTCGTCGTCTCTTCACCTTCTAATGTGTGGTCTGGTCAACATACTTTAGCCACGTTATTGTGACTCAACGCCTGCACAAATTCTTTAGCATGGGTGGAACACGAACAAGGGGACACAGGTGGAAACTTAATACCCAGATGAGCCACATAGACAAAAAAATTGTCAGTGTCAGTAGTTAACAAGTGGATTGCATTTGGCAGTAATTGCTGTCATTGCAATCAATCATAGCTACCTATGTGCTTTAATATACTGTACCTATAATTTTCTCTCATCTTCTTTTTTTTCATTCCATGGTATCCTCACATTCCTTATGTACATTCTTGAGGTTGACTTCATACACAATTTCAAATGTAGATTTGATAAGAGCCCAGTAGGCTCTTTAACCTGTACACCAGTTGATTGGCAGTTGATTCTTATTTGTAAAGGTGTTTTTAATACATAACAAAGTTATGGATAATAATAATCTCAAGTCACTTGTTTCAAGGTAATGACAATGTTTGTTATAATTGGCCTAATCACAGAGGGACAATTGAGGCGTTGTACGCATGGACCCCCGTGTGGACAAGACCACTGATAGTGTGGGCTACGTGGGTACACTGTATATTAAAACGAACATATAACTAGTCACTGTTTTGGTTTCTCCAGTTCTTAACTACAATAACTTTTATTGTTATAAGATACTCTCCATAAGTTAGTCCAAACCAGTCGCGTTCTCCAGGCACCAATGGCATAAGTTTGCAGGTAATATAAATGTTTTGTACTCTAGGTTAATAAAGGGTATTTGCCGTAATAAGCTTTGCATTACACCCCATCACTGGTTGATGGTGTGAGGGGGGGGGGGGTTGAGGGAGTGGGAGGGAGATCTACTCACCTGCTTGATCCATGTCTGCCAGCAGTAGCGGAACTCCTCCTTGTCGATCACATGATCCTGAAACACATGACGTGACATTAGTCTCAATACAAGATGGTTGTGACTAGTCCCATAGCCTGGTCCCCTGGCCACCCCCCCCCCCCCACCCTGGTCTCCTGGTTGCCAGTCCCATAGCCTGGAGTCCCCTGGCCCGGGGTCAGGTTTGTCTTGATCTAACCCCAGCCCGCAGGCCCACATATCCACTACATCCTAACTGGTCTTCCTGCAGTTGCCAGACAAATATCTAGTAACTTTTCATTTATATATATTATAAACAACACCCTGATCCCCTGGAGTAGACCTGTGGGTTCTGGAGTTCTACTCCCCAAGCCTGGCCTGGGGTCAGGTTTGTCTTGATCTAACAAGCTGTTACTTGAGCAGCCCGCAGGCCCACATATCCACTACATCCTAACTGGTCCGGCACTTCCTGCAGCAACTTGAAAAACATAAATTAATAAATGAGTCGCAACATGGTTTTACAAATGGCCGTTCATGTTTAACAAATTTGCTAACTTTTTATTCCAGCATAGTTGAGGCAGTTGATAGTGGTAAGGATTGTGATGTTGTGTACCTTGACTTTAGCAAAGCTTTTGATACAGTGCCACATGAAAGACTAATTAAAAAAATAGAAGCTCATGGTATTGGTGGTGCTATATTAACTTGGATTAGGGCATGGCTATTCCAAAGGAAACAGAGAGTTAGTATAAATGGGGTTAAGTCAGAGTGGGATAATGTTGTTAGTGGAGTACCTCAGGGCTCTGTCCTGGGACCTCTGTTGTTTATAATATATATAAATGATTTAGATTCAGGTTTGAGTAGCAACATTTGCAAATTTGCCGATGATACGAAAATCGGTAGGGAAATTAATTCGGAGGAGGACTCACTATCACTTCAAGTTGATCTAGATAGGGTTTTGAAATGGTCAAATAATTGGCAAATGCAGTTTAATGCTGATAAATGTAAAGTTCTGAGGCTAGGTAATGATGATAGAGTTACAAGATACGAGCTAGATGGTGTTGAGATTGCGAAGTCGGATTGCGAAAGGGATCTGGGAGTTATGATTAGTAAGAATTTAAAACAAAAGGATCAATGCATGAATGTTCGTAATAAGGCGAATAGGACACTGGGATTTATTAATCGAAGCGTTAGTAATAAGACACCTGGTGTGGTTCTTAAGCTATATCTTGCTCTGGTTAGGCCCCATTTAGATTATGCAGTTCAGTTTTGGTCGCCGTATTATAGAATGGATATAAATTCACTTGAACGTGTCCAACGTAGGATGACTAAGTTAATTCCCCAAATTAGAAATCTTTCATATGAAGAAAGATTAACAAAGCTTAAGTTGCATTCACTGGAAAGGCGAAGAGTTAGGGGTGACATGATAGAGGTTTACAAGTGGATGAATGGACATAACAGGGGGGGATATTAATAGGGTATTAAAAATATCAACACAAGACAGAACACGAAACAATGGGTATAAATTGGATAAGTTTAGATTTAGGAAAGACTTGGGTAAATACTGGTTCAGAAACAGGGTTGTTGATTTGTGGAACCAATTGCCGCGTAACGTGGTGGAGGTGGTGTCCCTCGATTGTTTCAAGCGCGGGTTGGACAAGTATATGAGTGGGATTGGGTGGTTATAGAATAGGAGCTGCCTCGTATGGGCCAATAGGCCTTCTGCAGTTGCCTTTGTTCTTATGTTCTTGTGTAACTGTGATTTGAATATGTCCACTTTTGTTCCAGCAATATTTCTTATATTTGTTGTGAGGATATTAAAGAGCCGCGGACCTCTAGTGTTCACTCAGTGCTCTCTAAATGTACCTACAGCACCTCTACTCTTCACTGGTGCTATTCTGCATTTCCTACCATATCTTTCGCTCCAGTTGTTGTTTTACTGTGCATATTAGGAACCTGGCCTTTCGGTATCTTCCATGTATATATTACGTGATACCTCTCTTGTCGCCCTATTAGAGAGTACATTTTGAGAGCTTTGAGACGATCGCAGTAATATTGGTGCCTTATCGTGTCTGACCAGAGAGCGAGTGCCTTGGTCCTCTTCCTTGACCAGAGAGCGAGTGCCTTGGTCCTCTTCCTTGACCAGAGAGCGAGTGCCTTGGTCCTCTTCCTTGACCAGAGAGCGAGTGCCTTGGTCCTCTTCCTTGACCCAAACAGGAGCCAGCCTTATGGCTGTGCCTGCCTAGTTTAACGTGACTTGGCAGACATGAAGATATAGTGTGGCAGCAATTGAGGATAATTATCATTATATTGTAGTGCGTTAGTAATAATTAAGAGTAATATATGGAAGGTAATTGTAGAGGAGAAGAATATATGTGGAGGGTGTGCAGGGCCACCCCATCAATATGTCTCCTGGCGCGCACAAGTCACGTTCCCACCATGCTGGGCGGTTTGGATGTGTTGGTGAAAACTGGGTAGTTTGGTTGTGTTGGTGAAAACTGGGTAGTTTGGTTGTGTTGGTGAAAACTGGGTAGTTTGGATGTGTTGGTGAAAACTGGGTAGTTTGGATGTGTTGGTGAAAACTGGGTAGTTTGGATGTGTTGGTGAAAACTGGGTAGTTTAGATGTGAGTGTTAGTAGCTATAAGACGCGAGTGTGAGAGCTACAGAGCCTGAAGAACAATAGTGTGGACAACAGGAGTTGATGACATCCTCGTGGCGTATTGGTAAGACGCTCGCTTGGCGTTTCGCGAGCGCTTTGTCCTGGGTTCGTAGCCTCTTAACCCAACAGTAAAATGGGTACCTGGTTGTTAAACGATTTGGCGGGTCGTATTCCGGGGAACATAGGATTAAGGACTTGTTCAAAGCGCTGTGCGTGCTAGTGGCTGTACAAGAATGCAAGAACTCTCGTATATATAAATAATTAAAAATAAATAAAACGTACCTTGTTGGTGTCGAAGATGGTAAAGATATTGTCGAGCATGGCGGCGTCGACCGGGTAGGGCTTGCCTCTCTCGTTCCTGAAGAGCGCTCGACACAGCGCTGAGAACTCGTTCTGGCTGAGGAAGCCGTCCCTGTTGAGGAAGACAAGCGGCACAAGGTGAGACAGTGATCACACACACGCCCACCTTGCCAAGTCCTGTGAGTCTATGATTAATGCCTACCAGTCACACCCGAGGTCAGGTCAGCACCAGACTGACCTGAGGCCAAGTACTACTATTATTATTGACACAGTATAGAATTGGCACACTCGGTGACCGCTGGACCACGTGTAAGCTTGTGTATCGGTTGTAATGTCACGCATAATTATTACTATTATTACTGATGATGAGTCACAATAACGTGGCTGAAGTATGTTGAGATACTTCTCAATCGATACACAATCGACTTGAGAATGGTCCAGGACGGACCGAAATGTCGTCGTGCCTTCATTTTCTAGTGTGTGGATTGGTCAACATTACTGTTGTAGGTTAGTGTTTGTGATAACCTACCATTCACACACGTCACGGGGACCTTCTTCACTGCAAGTGTCGTGTGTAAATGGAACAGATGAGGAAGTTATCAACACTATTTAAATTCACAACATAAAATGTATATATAAGAACGAGTGCAACTAGTTACTTCATCGAGTTACTGAAGGTGGAAAGTAGGAGCTTAAGAAGTATTGGCAGACCCTGCGGGCACATCTAGGTGAGTACATGATGACGTGCTCCAGAACCCTTGCGAGGGCAAGGAAGGGTCACAACACACACCAGGGTGGCCGCCACTCCTCCACACTTCCCACGGATCTTACTAAAACACTCCTGTTTGGTTTGATCTTAGGCTTAAGGCCTATCAACTGCACGAAGATTATTAAGACAGTGGCACTAGCTTGCCGTCCAATCAGCATGTATGTTGATTGGGCGACATACATGCATTTATGACAGTTCTGAATGCAATCCTGGACTGAAATTGAATTGAAATAAGTTTATTGAGGTAAAATACACACAAAGGGATGAGGTAGCTCAAGCTATTCTCACCCCGTTCAGTACATCGTGTTAATACATACATAGACACATCACAAACAATAAACATATTACCGAACATTCTGAGAGATAAACATATACATTTCCTCCCTTACACAAGTAGTATGGTATCAGACGTACACATAAATACTTTTGTGACCTAGATCCTGGATCCTGTTTTAGATTCAGCCACAGGGAACAAAATGTTCCAAGCAGCACGGGCTATGGTGAGCCCGTAGTGAACTTACCTGGCACAGGAGCGGGGCTGTAACTCTGTCTCTGGTGGACTAATGTGAACTCCGGTATATTTACACCAAGAAATGCAGTACACCTGTATGTATAGGGTATACTGGTTCAAGCGCTCCTTCCTCTACTACAGACTTTATAATGGACCTCTACCTTCCACGCCAGGAACTATTGCCTTTCATCAGTCAAACAATTATTTTCTTTAATAACGTATATAAAAGAAAGAAAACGTTTGCTTGAGGCATTATATGAGGTAATAATAATTTTCTCCGTGTTCCTGGGAAGCATCATGCATCAGGCAGGGGGGGGACAATGGGCAGCGTGTACTACGTCACAATTACGTCATATTACCCCACCCGCTCGCTAATCATCCAAATTATTCCCCCGACCATAACAATCATTACCCGTCTGATGTAAACAACCTTGACTCGTGTTGCGTGTTGAGACCCATCCATGCATGGAGAGCCACCTGACGTGTGTGGCCACCTGGGCGGGGGCGGCTCCCCCCCTACCTCCCTCCTTGAGACCTCTACCTGACGTGTTGGCCAGCTGGGCGAGGATGGTATCCTGACGTGTGTGGCCAGCTGGGGGAGGATGGTATCCTGACGTGTGTGGCCAGCTGGGCGAGGATGGTATCCTGACGTGTGTGGCCAGCTGGGGGAGGATGGTATCCTGACGTGTGTGGCCAGCTGGGCGAGGATGGTATCCTGACGTGTGGGGCCAGCTGGGTGAGGATGGCTCCTAGGACCTCCAGTAGTGGACGAGGTCAACATGATGGCTGGCAGTGAAGTGTGGCCGAGGGTTAGGTCACCCTCACGGAAGGAATGTTGCCATTACTCCTGCTCCCCCCCCCCCCCCACCCTCCTCATTTTGCTTAATTAGCTTTTTTTAATTTGCAGGTAGAATAAGTTTTTAATTATCAAAAGAAGGCACCGTGCCGGGAAGGCTGTGTAGCATGAGTGACAACATGGCGGCCTCCCTAACGAGTCGAGGCGCCTTCACCACCAATTCACTATCACACGCTGCGCTCTTTATGTCCTCATTTTACAGTATATGATTCATTAATTATCTTATGTTCGTAAGTGCATTATGGTAGGAAATTCTTGTGTATTATCGGTAAGGGTGTCTGAGGTATGGCGGTCTTCACACTAACTCCAGGTATTGGGACAGCTCACCTGTGCTACCACGAGTGAGCGGCTAATTAGATCAAGGCGACCAATCACAGCAGTGATTAGCACTAATGCTAAGGTGACCCTACCAGAAGACGTCTGCTAAAAAGACGTATGGTAAGTGGGAGTTTTTTTTTTTTTTTTTACGGTCTCAATTTAGCCCGTGTTACGTGGTTATTTCGTTCAGAGTAGGTAAATCTAAACCAACAAGCAACAGCTGGAGTTTATCATTCGTGTCCTGTCATTGACGGGAGTAACATGGTCTCTTGTATGGTTTAAGGGGGCCAGATTCACGGAGCAGTTACCCAAGCACTTACGAACCTGTACACCTTTTCTCAGCCTTTGGCGGCTTTGTTTACAATTATTAAACAGTTAATGAGCTCCGAAGCACCAGGAGGCTGTTTATAACAATAACAACAGTTGATTGGGAAGTTTTCATGCATGTAAACTGTTTAATAAATGTAACCAAAGCCGTCAAAGATTGAGAAAAGATGTACACGTTCGTAAGTACTTGTGCCTTTGTTACGGTCGTGAGGAGCGACGAGGACGATTTAAGAGGTGGTGGATGACGAGCCTTGACCATGGAGGCAGCCGAGTCAAGCTTCAGAACGGTGAAGGTCCCCCCCTACAGTCCTGTTGCTGTAGGGGGACAGCGACAAGGGGTCCCCCTTGTCGCTGTAGTCATGGCACGACAGTTTCTTGCCCAAGGATCATCCCGGAGCTTCACGAGAACTAGTCATATAGCGGACGCCTCGGTATGATACCCACAGCCTTGGTGTTGACCATCACGGCTGTAGTGTCTCAAGCTTGTGGTGCACCCTACCCAACCACTCACAGTAAGGTACTCTACCCTTCACGGGACCTGCACTGTACCCCAGTCAGCTACAGTGCCTGCACCGTACACCAGCCAGCTACAGTGCCTGCACCGTACACCAGCCAGCTACAGTGCCTGCACCGTACACCAGCCAGCTACAGTGCCTGCACCGTACACCAGTCAGCTACAGTGCCTGCACCGTACACCAGCCAGCTGCAGTGCCTGCACCGTACACCAGTCAGCTACAGTGCCTGCACCGTACACCAGCCAGCCAGCACACTTACACAGTATCAAAGAGACAGGATAACAAGAGGCAGGACCAATAATACTAATATTTAGGGTGTGGGTGACGTGCGCGAGGACCGTTGCCAGGAGCTGGTGGACTAAAATAGGAGTAGTGTCGTGAGGTGCAGCAGTGATGGTTAACCGTCAGGATAACACTGGCCTCCGGCTCCTTATTATGGGTGATGGACCTGGCCTGCTGCCCGCCGCGGAGGGAGGGAGGGAAGGCTCGGCTGCTCACATGTCTGAGCTACTCATCAACCAACCAACTCACACTCTTGTACAATCAAAATGCAGCTCGTCCTCGTAAACAAAGGCCGAATGTCCGCTAATCCAGCCGCCAAACCCTACATGTATGAGTTAATAAATACTTTCCATACGCCTGGCAACTGACGACGTGAGCACTCCTCTCGAACAGCGCCTCGCTCATGTCATTGGCTCGAATCACCCACCTCTTTCTGTGCTTCATCCACGTACTGCAAATACCAGTAATAACCAACAGAACCTTGGAACCTAATGCAAGCTTAACTGTTCAGTACATTCTAGTGTGTAATAATATTACTTTATATTCGAGAAAATACAAATTGTGCTTGCGCAGCACGTTAAAACTGACGAATGCTTCTTTGGGGTCGGCCGCCGTCTCCATGAACCGAGCCTGAGGATAGGTTGCCAAAATGACAAGGACGAAGCTTAATTTCAAACCAAGATTGCAATGAGCAACAATCTTGTAGTGTCAGTCATACTGAGCCCTCGATGACGTCACAATTAATGGAGGCATCACACGTGACAATGACGACACGCTTCGAACAGTATACAAGTCGCGACTCTGCTGAGGAAGTCCTTACGGGCTACTCTTGCCCGTGCCACCTCTCGGGGTGGCTTACTCTTTATCAATCAAAGGAGATCGTCAGTTATCAAGCCTGGAGCTTGATGAGAAGCCATTAGAAGCAGCCTCGGTGGTGAGTGAGGAAATGTATCATCTTTCTGGCTATGGTAGTTATACCAATCTGTTCACGTCGGGAGGGAAGAAGTGTCAGACGCTGGACACTGGTGTGTGGTGCTCAACAAGGAGGGCGGCCTCGCCTCAACCTCCCCACATACAGTCCTAGACACACAGCTGACCCTCACACAGACGCATCCCACCACCATCACTGCTTCACTAAAACACAATTACAGGCCATAACATACATTATTTTGTCCTGTGATTTTATGTCTTGAGTTAGCGTGATTAGATGGTGAGCCGCCCCCCCTCCAGGGTGAGACGAGTCCCTCCCCCCAGGGTGAGCAGTCTCCCCCCCAGGTGAGCAGAGTCCCCCCCCCCCAGGGTGAGCAGAGTCCCCCTCCCCCAGGTGACCAGAGTCCCCCACCCCCCAAGGTGAGTGAAATAGTGATGGTGGGGCAGGTGTTAAGGTGATGGGAAGGGGCGTGAAGGTAGATATAGACGTGTACCACCAGTAGATGGCGGGTGGTGGAGGCTGGACACGCAGGGAACTACATGGAGGATGACGCCCTCCATGACTGAGGCACGGAGGGCTGACCAGCACTCGGGCCTCATCAGCCCCACATCAATCCTAGGTCGTCAGTCAACCTGTCCTCCAACAAAGAACGTCGCATTTCGCTCGTATGAGTTACATAAGGCCAAAAATTGTACTACCAAATGGAAACGGCTGGCGAACGTGGCGTACTGTCCCGTTTTCTGCATTAGTTCCTCTGGTGGGTTAGGAGAGGACACTTTAATTTGACCGGTTTCTTGACGTTGGGAACCTGAGGAGGACGGGCTGCATCAGTGGTGTGTGATACGGTAATGTTCTGTGTTCTCTCCCCCAGGTCGCTCTCCTTCCTGTTAACTGGCAGGTATCTTCACGTGTTCCTCAGCCTCTCTTCATCACAGTCTTGTCAACCCGCCGCCAGAAGCTCTTGTGGGTGGGTGTTACACCTCCGCCCCTCCCGAGTGCCCCGACCCCGCCGCCCTCACACCGTGGTCTGTGATGCCCACTACACCTGCCCAGGAGGCACCTAACATGCTCCCACAGGTAAGGTCCCATGGAGAAAATATAGTATGTGTTTTTGATTATCAGTAAAGCTCTACGATTATTTTGTGTTTGTGTGTACCTAGTTATGCTTGCGGAAGTTGAGCTTCGGCTCCTCGGTCCTACCTCTCGACATCCAATCCAAAATGGTGTACAGGGCCCTGAGCCTATTGGGTGTGTGTATATATGTTAGTGGAGGTTGTAGTGGGGTGAATGGTATTAACGATGCGTGACTCTGCCTCTATTATGCAGGTATAATTTATGTTGTACCTCCTCCCACCCTGCCACCTGGTCCTCCTCCCTCCTGCCACCTGCTCCAAGGAGTGGGAGGAAACTTCAGAGTAAGAGGAGGAAGGTACATTAGGGCAGGATACCGAAGTGAAGCCGAGGGTACAGTAGGGGAGGAGATGGTACAGCAGGACAGGGGGAGGAGGGGGGGGGGTGGCTACTGCAGGGGAGGATAAGGAGTGCGTGACCTTTCAGGTAATTACTTGCAGGTTGATGACCGCCTCGAAGAGCACCTGACAGGTGGAGACGCTCGCCCCCACCTGGCCACACCTGTCAACAGACCTCAGCTGGTTCACAGCCAAAAAGGTAAGGCTATCAGCACTACGACCATTCCAACCCCTATAACCAGTAACATCCATCAACATTACCACCATAAAAGGATGACCTGGTGTCATAAACTAGGAGGATATGAACCAGGCATACACAAGTGGGTTAAGGGGTACAAACAAGAGGTCATAAACAACGGATATAAACATTGCTTAAAACTGTGGGCACAGGGCACGACCTCCAACAATGGGTACAAGCTGGAGAAATATATTTTGAAGATGGGTATAGGACAGAATTATTTTGAGAATAGTGTTTGTGTGGATTTGGGTTAGTTTATTTTCCACCTCAGAAGACCATTCATCAGCAATGGTAACTAGCATGTATGAATTGTGGTCCATCTTCCCTGGAGAGGGCAGGACACAACCCCGCTCCTGTTCCAGGTAAGTCCACTATGGGCTCACCATAGCCCGTGCTACTTGCCCCGCTCCTGTGCCAGGTAAGCTATGGGCTCACCATAGCCCGTGCTACTTGCCCCGCTCCTGTGCCAGGTAAGCTATGGGGTCACCATAGCCCGTGCTACTTGGAACTAGTTCCGAGTAGCTGAATCTATAACAACAACAAATCCCTGGAGAGGTTAGAGTGCATCATATGGTGGGTTGGTGAGCACTCGACACATGAAGGTGGCGGGCCTGCTGCTGCTGCTACAATGCTGGCCAGCATAGATACACTACATACAGTTTCGTCTGCCCTACACTCACGACTAGAGACCTGTTCTCTTGCATATAGTAAGGGACTCAACCACAGAATGTGAGTAATGTGTGTTTACAAAGATGAAATGTAATTCTAACCAACTTAGACATATATACATACATACTTATACATGTCATAGCATTAATTCAAGGACTCAATAGTCAAGGTGGTCAGATACTTATAACGTCGGGGCCAAGTCATGTAGGAGTACTAGGGAATGACATTGTAGATGAAACTGCAAAACTTGCAACTAACAAGAACTGTAAATATTTACATGCCATCTAACACATTAATATAAATTATTAGAGATAGAACAATACAGATGTGCAGTGAGCACAAGACAGCACCTCCAACACCACGATCTGCGGGTTGCTGCAAGAATTGAACCCACTACGAACTACTTATTTTGACGACAGGGATCAGTAGAACAGAGACGAGAAAAGAGTAGCACTTAGTGGGCCAGCCAGAGGCTTAGAGGCCACGCAGGAATATCCATGAAAAAATACCACGCCCTCAATATCACCACTCTCAGTATCACCACGCCTTCACTACCACCACGTCCACCACCACCATGACCCCCACCAATACCGCCCCCTCCCCACCACTACCGCCCCCCTCCCCACCACTACCGCCCCCCCCCCACCACCACCATAAGTGAGCACGGTATAACCCCATAAAGGGTCAATAAAGAGAGCCGTGACATAATTGCGGGAGGACAGAGAGTGCCCCAGAGAGGTCGGTCGTGACCAATGGTCGCCACACCTCTCATTTCACCTCGCTCCTCACCCTCACACGGGGAGTATATTATCCTTTCTCACTATCCAGACACGAGAACCATGACGGCTCTCACCATTACTCCACTCCCCCGCCGCCTCCACCTTTCCGTAATTCTTGATTTTTAAAGGAATTTTGTCCTACACATCAGGAGGCTAACCATAGCCCGTGCTTCTTGCCCCGCTCCTGTGCCAGGTAAGTTAGGGGCTCACCATAGCCCGTGCTTCTTGCCCCGCTCCTGTGCCAGGTAAGTTAGGGGCTCACCATAGCCCGTGCTTCTTGCCCCGCTCCTGTGCCAGGTAAGTTAGGGGCTCACCATAGCCCGTGCTTCTTGCCCCGCTCCTGTGCCAGGTAAGTTAGGGGCTCACCATAGCCCGTGCTACTTGCCCCGCTCCTGTGCCAGGTAAGTTAGGGGCTCACCATAGCCCGTGCTTCTTGCCCCGCTCCTGTGCCAGGTAAGTTAGGGGCTCACCATAGCCCGTGCTTCTTGCCCCGCTCCTGTGCCAGGTAAGTTAGGGGCTCACCATAGCCCGTGCTACTTGGAACTTGTTCCGAGTAGCTGAATCTATAACAACAATCCTACACATGGACAGATAGTAAATATGTACCAGCTACTGACCAGGCTCCTCCACCTCCCTAAAAAGCAAAAATACATAATTGGTTACTAACGCTGCCACTAGAGGGACGTCAGTATATGACGTCACTACGTCAGGTTGTCAGCGTTAAGTCTGAGACCAGAACTTGGTGGTGTAATATAAGTTACTCGCTTATTATTAAATAGTCCCAAGTTCATCTCTACAATAGTCAATATATTGGATTGTATTGCTGATGTGAACTGTCGGATATTACGACACTGAACACTCACTAAATAAGACTCCAGAGCAACACAAGGAGCTCTGCAACACAAGATTCCTGAACAACACAAGGAGCTTTGCAACACAAGACTCCTGAACAACACAGGGAGCTCTGCAACACAAGATTCCTGAACAACACAAGGAGCTCTGCAACACAAGACTCCTGAACAACACAGGGAGCTCTGCAACACAAGACTCCTGAACAACACAAGGAGCTTTGCAACACAAGATTCCTGAGCAACACAGGGAGCTCTGCAACACAAGACTCCTGAACAACACAAGATTCCTGAACAACACAGGGAGCTCTGCAACATAAGACTCCTGAACAACACAAGATTCCTGAGCAACACAGGGAGCTCTGCAACACAAGACTCCTGAACAACACAAGATTCCTGAGCAACACAGGGAGCTCTGCAACACAAGACTCCTGAACAACACAAGATTCCTGAGCAACACAGGGAGCTCTGCAACACAAGACTCCTGAACAACACAAGATTCCTGAGCAACACAGGGAGCTCTGCAACACAAGACTCCTGAACAACACAAGATTCCTGAGCAACACAGGGAGCTCTGCAACATAAGACTCCTGAGCAACACAGGGAGCTCTGCAACATAAGACTCCTGAACAACACAAGATTCCTGAGCAACACAGGGAGCTCTGCAACATAAGACTCCTGAGCAGCACAGGGAGCTCTGCAACACAAGATTCCTGAGCAACACAGGGAGCTCTGCAACATAAGACTCCTGAGCAACACAGGGAGCTCTGCAACACAAGACTCCTGAACAACACAAGATTCCTGAGCAACACAGGGAGCTCTGCAACACAAGACTCCTGAACAACACAGGGAGCTCTGCAACATAAGACTCCTGAATAACACAAGATTCCTGAGCAACACAGGGAGCTCTGCAACATAAGACTCCTGAATAACACAAGATTCCTGAGCAACACAGGGAGCTCTGCAACATAAGACTCCTGAGCAACACGGGGAGCTCTGCAACACAAGACTCCTGAACAACACAAGATTCCTGAGCAACACAGGGAGCTCTGCAACATAAGACTCCTGAGCAACACAGGGAGCTCTGCAACACAAGACTCCTGAACAACACAAGATTCCTGAGCAACACAAGGAGCTCTGCAACATAACTCCTGAACAACACAAGATTCCTGAGCAACACAGGGAGCTCTGCAACATAAGACTCCTGAACAACACAAGATTCCTGAGCAACACAGGGAGCTCTGCAACATAAGACTCCTGAACAACACAAGATTCCTGAGCAACACAAGGAGCTCTGCAACATAAGACTCCTGAACAACACAAGATTCCTGAACAACACAAGGAGCTCTGCAACATAACTCCTGAACAACACAAGATTCCTGAACAACACAAGACTCCTGAACAACACAAGATTCCTGAACAACACAGGGAGCTCTGCAACATAAGACTCCTGAACATGTTAGATAAGAAGGTAGTGTTGCCTCACAAAGGTCAAGCGAGGCCTAGCAACACCCTGCATATATCAACCTTTACAGGCGGTATTTACAGTATATGATTATACCTTAATACAGACCTCGTGGTCTCTTGGCGAGGTCTGTTACCGCTATATGGTCCAACCTTCCCTTGACTTATTGTTCTTACACCTTCACGTAACACCTCACATTCTTGGTCTTAAGAAAACGTCACATTCTTGGTCTTAAGAAAACGTCACATTCTTGGTCTTAAGAACACGTCACATTCTTGGTCTTAAGAACACGTCACATCCTTGGTCTTAAGAACACGTCACATCCTTGGTCTTAAGAACAGATCACATTCTTGGTCTTAAGAACAGGTCATTGGTCCAATCTTATACATTTGATGAAAGTTGTTAATAATAATGTAGGAGAGAGCGGCAAGGCGCTGTGCTATGAATGTTATCTGTACGAGAGAATGTCTACACAAGGTTGGAGGTCAGACGCTTGGGGGTAGCCTCGCCAAACTTTGCAGCGGGAATGATCTGAGGTACGGGGCGGACATAGGCTGGTCAGGGTCGCCAGACTTCAGGAGAGAACAGCGTGGCACGGGGTCACATTCTGACCTCCCACCATGATGTTTGGCACTGCCTGCCAGGTACATCTCGCTAAATATTGTTAAAACAAACATTTTAAAATAAATTTGTTTCTTATAGTAATATACATTATTCACTGATTTTGGTTCAAGTAACCTAAATTTTCCGCTATTCATACTTTAGCCTTAGTAGCATTAAATAGACGTACGATCCTACCACAGTTGTAAAAGGTTTCTCAAGTCGCGCATATTCCTTGAAACAAATGAGTAATTATTATGTTGCTAGGCTGCCCCACCGGCGGTCCGCCCACAGACCAGTGGTAGAGTATATTATCTTTATGGGAGAGTCAACCAAACACAGAGGCGGACAGAAGATATATATATATATATATAGATATATATAGATATATATATATATATATATATATATATATATATATATAGAGAGAGAGAGAGAGAGAGAGAGAGAGAGAGAGAGAGAGAGAGAGAGAGAGAGAGAGAGAGAGAGAGAGAGAGAGAGAGAGAGAGAGAGAGAGAGAGAGAACTAGGGAGAGAAAGAAGGATAAGGGGAGAGGAGGGATGTTTGACGAAAGGAAGAAGGGGGATATTTAAAGCCAGA